TTGGATGTCATGAATCCATAGCGCCGTACAGGTGTAAAACACCTCGCCCAAGCATTTACCGGAATTTCATTAGTTAGCTTTTTAAATGCTTCGGGTTTTAGGCTTCGGATGTATGACAAGTAACGATAGAAGTTTTCACACCGATAACAATATGCCGCCTTATAAAATATGCCCAAGACAGATTTCCCAAAAGGCCTCATTTGTTTTGTGATGTGATAATAGCAAAATGAATGATGCGCCTCGAGGAACACTATTAGGACAGAATATATGATAGACTCATGTCTAACCGAGACGATGAGGAGGTTATCAGGACAACCATAGGCCCTTCTCAATTGAGTCAAAAACCAACTCCAAGTCTCTCGACGCTCTACATCACCAATGCCAACTGCGAGGGGAAAGATTTGGTGATTCTCGTCCAATGTGGCTGTAACAAACATAATGCCCTTGTATTTTCCTTTCAAGTGGGTACCATCTATCACAATTATCGGGACACCAGCTCATTGAAAGCCCTCAATGCTAGCTCCTAGAGCAAAGAACAAGTGTTGGAATACCTCGCCATCTCGTTGCAGTTCGACAATTGTACCTGGATTACGAACCTGCAACATGTGCAAGTAACCGGGAAGCCGCCCCCATGATTCTTCATGACCTCCATAAACTTTTTCAAAAGCACGGCGTCTTGCTCGGAGGGACACATTGTAGCTGATCGACAAACCATGCTCCTCCCGCATTTGTTCAATAATTCTCCGTGTAGATACCGTCTGGGATTTGTCTGAATAGTTGATGCGTAAATATGAGCGAGAACCTTGGAATTAGCCAAACGGTGTTGATTGTGCGCCAAACTCCCTTCGCATGTATGCTCGAGTTTCAAAGTAGTGATTCTCCATACATCTCGGTTTGCCCTTGCACATAACTTGTAAGAACACGCTTCATACCGACAAACAAATTTTAACCTAGAAGTGAAGGATTTGGGTGTTCGACACTCAACTTTTTGTTGCAAGTGATACAGTTGAATAGCACAAATCAACTCTTCTTTCGAAAGAAAGACAGACCCCAAAGATAGTTCTATATTG